GCTAATTCCGATCCGATCCATCCGACTTTCACCCATAATTATTATCATTTTATGATAATTATGTTTATATAATTTTTAGAGGAGTCGGTATTTTATTATAATATAGTGTGATTCATTTTCCTGTTATACTTGTTAATTGTTATTGTCTTGTATTTAAATAATTGTTCTTTTCGTTTTTTGAAATATTGTTCAGTGCATTGCACGGGGAGAAATCTATTTATTTTTAATTTTAATTATGCTTTCCAGTTAATATATAGTCAATAAAAAGAAAACCAAATACTCAAAACAAAAAAAAGGATTGCAATAAAGAGAGGTAGACAAAGCAACTATCAAGTTTGATTGCTAAAATAAATAGAGATTAAAACAAACTTCCAATATAATATTAATAATAACACAAAATTGAATCCCATTATTTTATTTCATGGTGAGCCAATTCTTGAACCAAAGAGCTGATTGTTTAGGAATTCTTTTCAGCCCATTTTCATGATCCACATAACAAAGCCCGAACCGAATAGTGTACCCGGAGACCCATTCAAAATTATCCAAAAATGACCATGCAAAAAAACCCTTCACATTTACACCTTGTCTACCAACAAAAAAATAATAATAAAATTAGTACCAAAAAAAAAAACTATTTCAATAATTCAGAATTCAAAAAAAAAAAAAAAAAAAAAAAAAAGAACTTACTGTATTGCTTGTAGAACACCTCGGATATGGCGATTGTAGAAATCAATTCTTTGTACGTCTTTGATACCGTTTTCTACGTCGCCGTTATTCTGATCGCCAATACCTTCGAATATATTTTTTTTAAATAAATAAATAAAATTAAGTCAAATTGTTAATTAAAATATTTTATTAGTATATATAACTATATATGCCTACCGGTTTCGGTAATGTAAATAGTTGGATTATTGTAATTTTCTTTCGTGTAGATTAGAAGTTCGTAAAGTCCTTCCGGGTAGACATAAAATCCGTTCACTCCGGTCTATACATACATAAATAAATCATTTATTAGCACGAAAAAAAACGAGATAATAATTGAAGGAAATCGTAGGTAAATTTACTCGTTAATTACCGGGTCACCGATGGGTACACCTTCAATATCCGCTGCAAAAAAAAAAATTACAAAAAAAAATAAAATAATTTTTTTTAATTAAAATTAAAATTGTAAGGTTGAATAAAATGAATTGAAAATTGAAAAACTTACATGAAAAATGAACCATATTATCAGTAGTGCTGGTAATATTGGAATTGGGAGAGGAAATATGAGAAGCATAAGTGGCAGTATAGTAATTTACTCCCAGAAAATCAAATGATCCTTTAAGCAGTGAACTTTCCTCTTTAGTGAATTTTGGTAACCGATTTCCAATTAAGGATTTCATTATTTCTGGATAATCTCCATATACTACAGGATGAATAAACCTACCAAAAAAGAATTAAAAAAAAAAGAAGGCCTTAGAAATATATTATATCAATAAAATATATTTTTTTATATACTTTTTATTTGGTTCAAATTATTTGTCGCATTGGAATTTTTTTCGTCTCATATTATATGTCACTTTAAAATATCAATAATGATTTTTTTAATTTTTTTTTTCTAATGTTACCGTTATTACTCCAACTGGCGCGAAACTTAACTCTCTCTTATCGCACAAATTTTGATAACAAATATTATGCAAGTATTTGTATGTTTTTTTAGCAAAGATTTGGTCAATCTTAACTTTCGCAATATGGATGTAAGAATATTAAACGACGTATATTGTGAAATGAATTTACTCACCATCCGTACATAAAATCAAGAGCTCGTTGCGCTGCTTCGATGTCGAGTTTAGTACTCGAATGTGGTACCATCCAATTAGACACTTGTGTTATCCCTATTTCTCCCTTCTGAGTTTCCTATTTCATTAAAAATAATATATTTTTTATTTGTAAATACATATTTGTCAATTAAACACAAATAATCCAAAAAAAGAATTATTTTTATATATATTCAAAAGGGGTAACAAAAAAATAATCATAATTAACCTGATATTTCTCCTTGTAAAGTTTGATGGTTGAGGCATGGCAAATGAGCATATGATGGGCGGCAATATAAGGCTCGGTGGCGGAATCCCCTTGCACGCAATTGTCCGGAGAAGAGCACCGCCCCGGAGCAAAGTTTCCGGCGAAGCCTCCATCGTAGCCACATATGATGAAAATGTACGGCTCGTTAACCGTGATCCAATGCTTTATCCGGTCGCCAAATTCTTCGAAGCAAAGCTCCGCAAAATTTCTAAAATCATCACTGCCCCACCAAAACATGTAAACATTACTTTTTTCTATATTTTTCTTTTATTATTTTATTTTTATTTATTTCGTTACAAATGAATTATCAACCACATGCGTGCACTGAGTAAATTTGTCTCTCGTGATCAGACTTAGAAAGTGGTTGAAATAGAGATCGAACTCGAGTTATTATACGCCACGTCCTCGTTACTCCACCAATTAGACCACCCTTGATTTTGCCCTAGTTGATAAACTATATATCTAATTTTATTTGTTATAAATAAATAAATATTAACAACTTTTAGACATATGTATTAAAATATATGAGTTGACTCACATAATTAGAGGGCTAAGAAAACCATTATACTCATCCTCAAGTTCTTGAGGAAGGTCCCAATGAAATAGAGTAACAAATGGGGTTATACCTGTAATTTAACCATCCCTAAGTTACAGAAATAAATAAAGGGTAAATTACAATCACCTCCCTGAGATAAAATATAATTACAAAAGAACTCTTATTTTTTGAGAAATTACATCTAGCCCCCTAAAGTTTGTAAATTTCTTACATCCACTCCTACAAGATGGTGTTAATGTAAGAAATCTACAAATTAAAAGGGTTGATGTAATTATGAAAAAAACGTGGGCGGTTGTAATTTACCCAAAAATGAATAAATTAAATGACTAGTAAATAAATAAATAAATATACATAGCTATTTAAATTTGTTTACCGTTTGCAATGAGCTCATTAAAAACATTGTTGTAAAAGGTAATGCCTTCCTTGTTCACTCCCCCACTTAGCTTTCCATCTGAATTATATATTACATATTCAATATTAATATATTGCTTAGATAAATCACTTTTTAAATTTTAGATACTTTTAAATAAATCACATTAAAAATAATTAGGTTAAGAGTTTTTGCTATAAAATAAAAATACGTACGAGGTAATATTCGTGGCCAAGAAATTGAAATCCTGAAAGCATCCAATCCTATATGCTTCATCAATTTCACGTCATCCTGCCACATTAAATAATTCATAATTAAATTCAAATAAGCCACAAAATTCAATTTTTCTTTTTAAGTTAATGTTAATATAAATTCTTTTAGTGAAAAGTAATTGAACTAAAAATTACTTAAATGCCATTTAGTCATTTACTTCAATTTTAGTTCATGTTCGACTAGACTAAAAATTACTTACATTTGTTTTCGTTAGAAACCGTTGGACTTTATTTAATATTTGATTAGTTCAATAAATTTTCGAGCCTGTCCAGAATAATGGGCAAAATGAATCTTTTATTTATTTTAAATACCTATCTTTAATAATCATATCTTGTAAATTTAAATAGACCTAAAATTCAGAAATAGAACTACCTTGTATAAATTGTAGAAGTCGATGGCCACGTCTCCGTAGCTCCCATCGGATATTTACCTGTAAATTTTCCGAGTTAGTCATATTTATTCAACTCTGGAATGGCAAAAATAAATTATGTATGTCATTTCACAATTGTTCAACGGGTAAACGATATTTGCTGCGACGATGTTCAATCGGAACTATTTAATATATAGGGGGGTCTTGGCCGATTTTTTTTATAATATAAGAACTTTTTCTCGTAGTTCGAAATAATACGTGGGTCTTATTATAAATTGACTAAAATACCCTTGGAAGAATTTTTATTTTTTCTTTTTAGCAATTATTAATAAAAAGTAAAGAAACCTGGATATTTGTGGGTGAAAGTGTCCCATATGCTTGGTCCTTTCCCACCTTCAAAAGCACTGCCTTCATACTAGTAACAATATTCAACCACACATATTAATTTATTTATTTTATCTTTTTTAATTGGCACGAAATGAGAATTAATTAATTTAAAAAAAAAACTAAAATGTATTTAATTTAAGATATAATGAGTATGTATATTTATATACTTGATAGGCAGATGAGCCAGCTCCAAATAAAAAACCAGATGGAAAGTTGCAACGATTGAGATGCGACGAATCACAGCCGTTGATTAAACCTAGCCCTGTTTCTGCAAATGTTGAATAAATAAATTAACCAAAAAAAAAAAAAAGGATTCTAGTGTGACGGATTAATCTGAAATATTTACCTGCATTACTCCGCGAATTCTCATTTTCTCCTCCATCTGTACACCCCTATAAAATAATAATAATAATAATAATAATAATAATAATAATAATAATAATAATAATAATAATAATAATAATAATAATAATAATAATAATAAATTGATATTCACAAAAAAAAAAAAAGAAAAAAAAAACGAAAAATACTTGAGTTGTATCTGAGGAAGATCCATTCTCAAGAACAGGAAAAAGCATGGTATTATTTGAATGGGATAGTGAAACTTGAATGATTCATCATATATAAATAAATAAAAAATAAAATAATATATAAACCACCTACCACAACCAATATAATATTATAATATACTACTAAAATCTAAAGATATTATATTGTCAAGTTGTTCTTCTCTTTTCTCTCTCTCTTTTTTTTTTTATATGTTTAAAAATGAGGTGTTTTTTTCTTTTAATATCAAAAGTACGAATGAAAATTTACTTTTGTGATTTTGAGTCAATTAATTTCAAACTAATCGACTCAACTAAATCAAGTTGTAGTGGTTGTGGCCCAATGTATCTTGAGCCTATAGCCCAATATCTCAATACACACATTTGTCTATAGGAACGGCCCATACAGAATAAGCCCATTTGTGGGAATGTGCTAGAAGGCTTAAATCCGAACCATTGGTGCTGGATTGATCTCAGCCGTTCATTCTAGCTGACTTTCCCTCTCCCTTTGTACTATTTTCCCGTTTTGTGCTCTAGACAATCTTTGTTCTCTCATTTGGTCCCCCTCTACTTCTTTCTTCTTTAGCTCCAACAACCATGGGCCATCCACCGCCGTCCCTGGCCGTGCTTGTCCCAGTTGTTGTCCCTTCAACGGCTTCCTTTGACCGGAGCCCCTATTTAAGGCTAAGAGATGAGTGGCAGAGGGTAAGACCTAGACCGAAACCCTAATTTCAAATACCTTGCCTTCTTCTTCAGTGAGTTGGGCATGTGGTGAGTGGGTGAGGTGCTGAGTGCATCTTCTTCTTGGTCTTACCGTGAATCTGGGTGGTTTTAGGGTTTGAGTGCAGAGAGAGGGATTGGTATTCTGAGAATGGTGCTATCCTAGACTGTGTGTGTGTGTAACAAGTGGAGACCTTAGTGGATCTCTGGTGTGAATTGGTTTGGAAGACTGAGCTGTCTTCAAATCAATACTTCTGTTTATATTTGTTTACACTTTGTTTATTGTTTACTAATATTTATTATGAGTTTATTTTTAAGCTTTCTTCGGGTAGAAACTCTACAGTGGTATCAAGAGCTTAGTTGCTCGAAGATCTGCTTGAAGAAGGCTTACAGAACCTAACTTGGTTCTGATAAGGTAAGTCATTCTGAAACCCTAGTTTTTTCGTTTCCTGGTTTATTCCTGTGGAGGTTGGGAGCCCTGTGTGGCATTGAGTTGGCCCTGTGTGGCGTGGAGGCCCTATGTGGCACTACTTGGCCCTGTGTGGCAGATGTGCTCATATTTGATTTATTTTTCCAGCTCTCTATGTGGTTTATCTTTCCGCAACTATTCCTACTGTTAGTGTAGCTTAGGATTGCTCTCAGCAACCCTTTCTTGTCCGGACCACCTTAGTGTCGCAGGAATCTGGAAAGGGGGGCAATCTGATTATTCTGTGTGATTCTCTGTGATTCTGTGTGATTCTGTGTGATTCTGTGTGATTCTCTGTGATTCTGTGTGATTCTGTACCCCTTATCTGTGTGAATCATGAATGCATATCATGTTGCTCCTTTTGATGGGAAATGTGACTTTTCTATATGGCAACAAAAAATGAAAGGTGTTTTAGTTCAGCAAAAATGTTTTAAAGCTATTACTCTAAACTATGAAGATACCACACCTGCTGCTAAGAAAGCTGAATTTGATGAACTTGCTTACTCCTTGATGATCTTGAATTTGAGTGATTCTGTGATTAGAAAATTAGGAAAGCAAGATGATGCTAAAGCTTTATGGGAAAAACTGCAATATCTGTATACTGAAACCTCTTTGCCCTAAAAAATGTTTTTACTTGAAAAAATTTTCAGATTTAAACTGGATTTGAGTAAAGATATAGATGAGAATCTGGATATTTTTACAAAGCTAGTTCAGGACATTAAGTTAACTGGAGATAAAAACATTGATGATTATACTCCTATTGTGCTTTTAAATGCAATTCCTGACACTTATAGTGATGTAAAATCTGCTATTAAGTATGGTAGAGATCAGGTTACTCTTGACACTGTCATAAATGGTTTGAAAAAGCAAAGAACTGGATTTAAAAACCAATAAGGGTAACAAATCTTTTGGTGATGTTAACTTTGTGAAAGGAAAGCCTAAATTCAAGTTTCAAAACAAGGCCTCTTCTAGTAATAACAACCAAAATCAGTTTTTTCAAAAACCTAAAAAGGGCAAAGAGTGGAGTAAGAACAAGATCAAAGGCAGAAAATGTGATAATTATGGTAAACCTGGTCATTATGCAAATGAATGTACTGAACCTAAAAATGATAAGAATAATGAACAGGCTAATGTTGTTGTTGATAATCTGGGTGATGTTTTCATGATTGGTGAGTCTGTGCATGATTGTGTCAACTCTGTGATTTCATCTCTATGTGATAATGATTGGATCTTTGATTCTGCATGCACACACCACATGACACCAAATAGACACCTATTTACATCCTATGTGGAACTGAAAAATGGCAAGTGTCTATGGCTGATAGCAGTGGTATAAATGTGGTTGGTTTAGGAACTATTATCCTTAAGTTTGAATCTGGTTTTGAACTTATGCTTAAAATTGTGAGACATGTTCCTAATTTGAGTAGTAATTTGCTTTTTGTGGCTGTACTTGAGGATAGTAGTCTGCATGGAAGTTGGGGAAATGGTTGCCAAAATATTATGAAAGATGATCAGTTTGTGTTCAAAGCTGTTAGAATGCAAAATTTGTATGTGTGTTCTGCTGAACCCTTGTTGCATGCTAATTCTGTTAAACATGATCATTCTAGTCTTTGGCATAGGAGGTTAGGTCACATAAGTGCTAAAGGGCTTGAGCTATTGCATAAAAACAATTATCTTGATAATGACGGTGTGTATGATCTGCCCATATGTGACTCATGCATTTTAGGAAAACAGACTAAGGTCCAATTTCCTGTGTCTCCTTTCCCTAACTCTTCAAAATGCACTGATATTCTTGAATATATACATGCTGATGTGTGGGGCCCTGCCCCAGTTCCTAGTCATGGTGGTAATAGATACTTTCTCTCTGTGGTTGATGATTTTTCCGGAAAAGTGTTTGTTTTCTTGCTGAAAAATAAATCTGATGTGTTTCAAAGATTTAAAGCATGGAAAGTTTTAATTGAAAACCAAACTGGAAAGAAAATTAAAACCTTGAGAACAGACAATGGAACTGAATTCTGTAATGCTGAATTTGATGCTATGTGTGTTGAGTCTGGCATAAAGAGGCATAAAACTGTAGCTTACACCCCTCAGTAAAATGGTGTTGCTGAGAGGATGAATAGGACATTACTTGATAGAGTTAGGTCCATGTTAAATTCATCTGGCTTGCTTAAAATGTTTTGGGGTGAAGCTATTTTAACTGCTGCATATGTGATCAATAGATCACCTTCTGTGCCTCTATGTGATGAATTACCTGAAACTTAGTGGTCTGGTAGTCCTGTTAGTTTGTCTAATCTTAGAGTATTTGGTTGCTCTGCCTTTGTGCACCAGAAACATGATAAACTTGATCCCAGGTCTATTAAATGTGTTTTTTTGGGGTTATCTAGAGGGGGTTAAAGGTTATAGGTGCTGGCTTAAGGGGGAACAGGGGTATAAAACTGTGATAAGTAGAAATGTGATATTCAATGAAAATGAGTTTCCTTGTTTGTCTGTTACTTTTTCTGAGTCTACCTCTACTGAGGTGGAGACTTCCCATGTTATGCCTGCTCAACATGAAACTATATCTGATTCTGATAGTGAAACTGATAATAATGTGCCTGAAAATGATGTTTTTGATCAAAATGTTAATACTAATGTGCCTGATGTGGAAAATCTTGGTGATTACCAACTTGCTAGGGACAGAAGTAGAAGAAACATCATTAGGCCTCATCATTTAGATGATTATCAGCTTGCATCTTATGTGTTTCATGTTTTTGAGTCTCTGGATGGTAAAGAACCTAAGTCTTATAGGGAAGCTCTTAAATCTAATGAATCTGTGTCTTGGTTAAATGCTATGAATGAAGAAATTGAATCTTTGCATGTTAACCATACTTGGACTCTTGTGCCAAAACCAGCTGAATGTTCATTAGTTGACTGTAAATGGCTGTTTAAAGTTAAACATGAATCTGATTCACTTAGATATAAGGCTAGGCTAATGGCTAAGGGGTTCACCAAAAAAGAAGGAATTGGTTATACAGAAATATTTGCTCATGTTGTGAAATTTACTACTGTGAGAATAATGCTTGCCTTAATTGCTCAATTTGATTGGGAATTAAAACAAATGGATGTGAAAACTGCATTTCTCCATGGTGAATTAGATAAGCAAATATACATGAAACAGTCTGAAGGTTTCCTTGATAAGAAACATTCTGATTATGTGTGTTTATTGAAAAAATCTTTGTATGGTCTTAAGCAGCCCCCTAGACAGTGGAATAAAAGATTTGATGCATGCATGAAGTCCTTAAATTTTTTGAGAAGTTCTTATGACCCATGCTTGTATTTCAAACACTCTGCCAAAATTCCTGTGTTCTTGCTCCTTTATGTGGATGATATGCTTCTGACCAGTCCTTGTATTAAAACAATCAATTATGTCATTAAATGTCTTAAATATAGACCACCGCCCCATTGTTTCATTGTTGTTGTTCTTCTTCTTCTCTGATTTTTTTTTTTGAATCCAATTCTCGAATCTTAATTTTCTTAATTGGAGTTTTTGGTTGAATTCTTATATAGAAGGCTAATTTTGTGTTCAATCAATAGTATAATGTAGGTTTTGTTTTTGTTGAAATTATGTGGTGTTATTTACAGATTTATAGATATTTTCGTACAGCAATATAG